GGGGGGCAGCTCTACAGAAATAGTCCAAAATTTGTTGTTGTTATTGTTAAGTCCCTTCAAGTCGTTTTCCAACTTACAGCAACCCTAAGGTGAACCTATCACAGGTTTCCTTGGAAAGTTTGCCTTTGCCTCCCTCTGGGGCTGAGAGAGTGTGATTTGCCCAAGGTCACTCAGTGGGTTTACATGGCCAAGCCAGGGTTCAAACCCTAGTCTCCAGAGTCATAGTCCAGTGCTCAAACCTCCCTCTACACCACACTGGCTCTCTCCAAAAACAACACTCCAAAAACAAAGAGCATTTAGTATACTAGCTATGCAGTGTAAATTTCCTACTGGGGAGTGGATTTGCAGTTGTGGCTTTGAGAATCTGTATTGTTTGCCTGTGGGGCTTGTGTGATAGTGGGTGGAGGTGGCATGGGTGGTCTGAAGTCTTTTCGGTTGGGAAAGCAAACACATCCTGGTCTCCTATCCTTCTTCCTGAAAGCAGTTTTATGTGCATGGCGAAGGGGGTTGGGGTGAGATGGTGCGACATTCCTAGAGGACAAAGGTCTTTGAGTGTTTTAGGAAAACACAGACTGGAAAGAAAGGAAGGAGGAGGAGGTGGGAACTGCCTTTCTGGGGACCTGTCTCAAGCTAGAAAGGAAAGAAGACTGGAGAGTGAGAAGTGTCGGCTTGGCTGCATCCACAGTGCAGAAATAATCTGGTCTGACACCGCTTTAACTGCCCTGGCTCAATGCTATGGAATTCTGGGGCCACAACCAACTACAATTCCCAGAATTCCATAGCATTGAGCCAGGGCAGTTAAAGCGGTGTCAGACCGGATTATTTCTGCACTGTAGATTCAGCCCTTATCTCTTCATTTGGTGCCTTAACAGAATATAATGGAAAATACTTAATTTTTCAGTGATATCCTCTCTTTTCCGCCAAAAAAATAGGACCAGAGTGAAGTCTTAATGACTGTTGCTGCAGATTTATGCAAGAAAGGGTTATACCTGATGAGTTTCTGCCTATTGCACAGTTGTTAAATACACAGGTGTCTAGAAAAAACATTGCAGCCTTAGGTTGGAAGAAATGTCTTGTCATTGTTGCGTACCTTCAAGTTGTCTCTGGCTCCAACTATCCTAGGGTCTTGGCAAGATTTGTCCAGAGGAGGTTTGCTTTTGCCTTCCTCCGAAGCTGAGAAAGTGTGACTTGCCCACAATCATCCAATGGCTTTCCATAAGGAACATGATGCTTTATGTTTTTTACAAGAAAAGCCTTATAAGACCATCACATCCTCTGTTTTGGAAACTCAGATATCTGTTTCTAGATGTGTGGGAGTCCATTTGGGATATTAATTGATGATAGTTTGTGTATGCTCAGAGGTGCTGTTCTTCATCTGTAACAGGTGCCACAGCTCAGTTCTTTATTTCAAGGATGTGGGAATACAGTAGGATTCATTGTTAAAACTACAGTATACTCAATTATTGAAGCTGCAGGTAGAGAAGAGACTAAATGACCGAATATCCAGAGTTTTTCCTTCTTCCCAGGAGGAAGTCTACGCCTAGTCGCCAAAGACTCCATGTGTAAAACTTTTCCTTGGTAAAACAGAGTTCAGAGATTGTCTACAAAAGGAACAGCCAGCAACTGGCTTGTATGAAACTCCCGTTATCTTTTTTTCCAACAAACCCGAAACTCTTTGTAACCAGATACCGGGGAGAGAAGAAGCTTGAAACTGAGCCCGTGGGAACAGTCTGCCGTCTTGTGCTCTTAATGTGCAAATGCATGCCTATGTTTCCAAGGCATGTGCAAATCCTGGACTAGCATATGAACACTCAACCTTGAAATCAACCTCTGCTCAGTTTTTGAATGAGTTTCTGATCAAATGTAGTAAAAGAATCAGATGCATTGTGTTCTCTGCCCTGTAAGTGGGTGGATGTGGAGTGGTTCATTTGAACTGAGGTTCCCCGGTATAACTTTGCCACCTACCTTTTGGTGAGAATAAAGGAAGAAGCACTTCTGAGCATTTGAAGGCTGTCTTTTTCTGAATACCGAGTACCTGGGTTTCTGCACCAGGGATTAGAAGGCATATCTTTCTAGACAGCTTGAACTCTGACACCACTCTTATTAGAAACTTGTTTCCTGTATTGACAAAGATTGGGATTAATGTGCAAGGCATACAGTGCGGATTCAGGTTAGTTCAGATAAACAGGACTTGCAAGACACTTCTGTAGTGTTGATTGTTGCTTCTCTTCAGTGTTCTGTTCAACTATGCTCTCTTTCAAGAAACTCCATTATATTCTACTATTCCCTAGTTTTCTGTATCTTTCTTAAACAGGCACTTAGTATTGTCTGCATTAGGCCATTTTAAAACATTTGCCCTCCCTTAATGTATTTTGTTTTTGTTTTGTACTTTTGCAAACTTTGGGGTTCCACCAAGCCTGCTGATACTCCCACTTGTGTGTGTGTGCGGTGTCATTTTGGTGGGTACAGATCCACCCTAAAAGAATAAGTTTGGTGTGTGTGTGTGAATTATAAGAAAGCAGTGATTTTGTAGTATTACCTGATATGAAACTCCATGTTCCAGTGAGAGAGGGGCACACACAGACATTGTTATACAGTCTGCCCTCCATATCCGCAAATTTTTTATCTACAAATTCAACCATGCATGACTTGGAAATATTCCAAAAAGATATAAATTCCAAAAAGCAAATTTTGATTTTGTCATTTTATATAAGGGACACCATTTTACTACCCCATTGTGTATAATGGGACTTGAGCACCCATGGTTTTTGATATCCACAGATGTCCCTGAAACCAAATCCTAGCGGATACCAAGGGTCCACTGTACCTCAATCTTGAGAAGAGCTGCATCAGTTGAAATTCTGTCTGTCACACATGTGGGAAAAATACAAAGCTGCATCCTGGCAGAAAAAGTGACCATCATAATTTATCCTTTGCTTGGTCTGTCTGTATGTGTATCTTCTCCTGATGGTCAACTTGGAACCATCAAGATGAGAAACTGACCTCCTGGAATAATGTACTGCTGGGCAAACACTTTCGAATTCTAAGGAATGGCACAGATGCTCCCTGAGAATGACCTTTCCAACATTATTTGAGCTCCATCTTGTGTCCTTTAGGTCTTTCCAGGATGAGATCCTGGAGGTGAGGTGGGGCAAGAAGGCAGGGACAGGTCAGGTAGGTATCTTTCAGTGAAATTTTTTCACAGCTTGGGTGGGGCTGGCTTCCACGTCACCAGGCAGGCAACCCAACCAGTCGAGCCTGGATCTATTTTTAAATGTCCTGTTTGTTCATACAACCACAACCAGCTAATGGAAGGGCCAAAATAGCAACCTATCTATGTGCGTGAGGACTGGCCGTGAGGGATAGACTGAGCTGGCGAATTTAGGCTGTGATGTTTTGTGAGTTCTTTCTGTTTGTGGTGGAAGGGGTCTGTCCCATTGGAGAGTTGAGAGACGTAACTAAAATTTGTGCCACACCCAGGTTTGAGGGCAGACAGGTGAATAAAGTGTTATGCTCTCATAGGAGACTAGGATCACTGATTCAGATGTTTGTGTGAAGAGTCCGAAGTTTCCACAGTTTGGAAAATGTATTTTTTGTGGATTACATCTCTCAGCCAGTGGCCCTATTGGTTGGACTGTTCTGGGGATTTTGGTTCAAAAAGTAACATTTTCAAAGCTCTGGTTCCCAAAGTGATAGATGGTAAGGCTGGGCAAACTGAAGAATATTCCTCCAGCCTACCTTGCTTTGCAGTGGGACCAAGATTGCTACACAAGGATCCTCATTTGGAAGTATGGGGACAAATATGTAGATTGTTTGTAATACCTTAAAATAAGATTAAATGGGACAAATGGATTAATTTGTGCCTGCACTGAGTGGGGGTCATGCCTAAAACCTGTACCAATCAAGAGATGCGAAAAGAACAAGAGTATCTCGAAATATGCACAATTTTCTTTCCTTTATCAAAAGAACACAAATCACAGCCCTATTTGATTATGGTAAGAAGAGAGGGAAAGTGCAGGGCAGAGGGTATGGTTTGAAGCTTGGTAATTTTTGTCTTTGAAATTATACACCTTGGTTATACAGTATTGATCCCCAATATATCCTTGGTGTATATCAAGGAGAAGAATTAATTTGCACTGTGTTTTGGACATTGGCTGTAATCCTGCATGGCTCAACATCACATTGAGCCATTACCACCCCCTGGACTGGCCTTAGAGTCACTGAAGCCCCCC